TATACAATATGAACTTATTTATCTATTTTATATATAGTAGTTAGTATGTGCAAATCCCAAACTCCCAGTTTATTCCTTCACTCTCTCTTTCCCCCTCCGGTAACCATAAGTTTGTTTTCTATGCCTGTGAATCTGTTTTTGTTTTGTAAATAAGTTCATTTGTGTCATTTTTTTTAAGATTCTACATATAAGTGACATCTTTTTCTTTCTCTTTCTGGCTTCGCTTAGTATGACAATCTGCAGGTCCATCCATGTTGCTGCAAATGGCATTATTTTCTTTTTAATGGCTGAGTAGTATTCCGTTTGTGTGTGTGTCTGTGTGTGTGTGTATACTACAACTTCTTTATCCAGTCATCTGTCAATGGACAGTTAGGTTGCTTCCATGTCTTGGCTATTGTAAATAATGCTGCTGTGAACATTAGAGTGCATGTATTTTTTTGAATTAGAGTTTCCTCAAGATGTATGCCCAAAAGTGGGATTGCTGGATCATAGAGTAAGTCTATTTTCAGTTTTTTTAAGGAAGAAAGATTGATTTCTTTTATTGTAGCTGTGAGCAGAGCACTCACTGGACAGATTTGGTATCGTGATTAAACCTGGAAAAATTCTCTGCAAAATAATGCTGAAAAGATAGAAATAATATTAGCTCTCTTTTATTGAGATTTCTGCCATATATTGGTCCTTCTGCTTGGCTTTATATTCACTGTGGGTGCTACTAGTCTACTTTACAGAAAAAAGTGAGTCTTACAATAATAAGTAAGTTATTTGCCCAAACTTGTGTTGCTGCTTAGGATTGAACTGTGAATTTAAGCCCAGTCTCTCTCCCTCCATAGTCTGTTTTCTTTGTTCCATGCTACACTACCTAGAGGTTTTTGGGTTCAAATCTTGGTTCTACCGCTTTCTAGCTATGTGACCTTAGACAAATGTCTAAACTTCGCTGTGCATTCTTTTAAAAATGGAAATAATAATCCTCTTACTTCATCATGTTGTTGAGATTAACTGAGTTAATGTAGATCAAGTCCTTAGAATAGTTGCTGCTGCTCTGTACATGTTAGTTTTCATTACTGTTTCTATCTCTTTAAGGACATGTGGGAATGGATACCATTCAGAGACATACTCAAATAGAAAATTTCCCAGCTATGGCCCTGTATAGTTTCTAACTGAGCTTCTCTAGGTCATTTTCTACTGCTGGAAGATTAGAGGATTATCTCTAATATACATTAAGCTTTCAAAATTAATATCCTTTCCTCTTGCAGGTTTTCTGTCTTCCTCTTCCCTGATAGTATTCAGTTGTAATGTAGCACAGGCATTATGCTTTTTTATAGTGTGTAAACTATTTTATTACATTCCAAGGAAACTGCTTAAGATGTGCACTGTGTATGGAGAAGGTGAGTTTGGTTATCTGCTGTTCTTGCTTCATGTGAACCTATTTAAGGCATTTACTGTTTCTTTGCTTTCATGGTAACCTCTCCCTGAAGCCCATACTTTGGTACTTAGAGTAGGCAGAAAGCCCTTTCAAGTTATCCATGTCTTAATCCAGATCCTGTGAACCTGTTACCTTAGATGACCCAAAGGACTTTGTTAATGAGATTAAATTAAGAATCTTCCGTTGGGGAGATTATTCTGGATTATCCAGGTGAGTCAAATATAATCACAAGCATACATATAACAGAGACTCAGGAGGGTCAGAGTTGGAGAAGGTGCTGTGCAGGTTGAAGTAGAGGTCTGAGTGATGGGATTGTTGGCTTTGAAGGTGGAAGGTGGCCCATGAGCCAAGGAATGCAGGCAAAGGCAAAGAAATGGATTCTCCCCAGGACCCAGGAGAAACACAGCTCTGCTGATGTATTTTAGACTTCTGAGCTCTAGAACTGTAAGATGATAAATTTGTGTTGTTTTAAGGCACTGAGTTTATGGTAACTTGTTACAGCAGCAGTAAGGAAGCTGATACAGTGCCACTGTGTTTACTTGTTCACCTGAAAGTTTTTTTTACTTCCTGGAAAAGCTACTGTTACTTTGACGTTGTGTTTGAACTACCATCAGCAATTTGAACTCTGTCTTCTTGCCAGGAATAGATGAAGCTTTTCAAATTTATAAATCAAGTTTCTTTATCTCCCTTACTCAACCCCACAAAAATACTTCCCACCTCACTCAGAATATGAAAGTTCGACGTACATGATCTGGCCCCTACTTACCTAACTTTTGAATTTTTCCAGTAAGAATTTTCTTGAGTAGCTTTTTTATTTTATTGGGTGCATGGCCTTCCCCCTGTTTCTGAGTATATGCTGTGCTTTCAACCACCCTAATTTATGTTTTGCCCTGACTTCTCAAATCTTGATCAGAGTATTTTGAGTTCAACCTCTTTTCTGGCCTCTCCTAAAACTTTTGAAGCTTTTGCAGTGTTCTTTTAGTATTTTAATTGTTGTATAATGGGAACTCAGAGCTCTATTCTGAACTATCAGGCTGTTTTAGGTTTGTTATGGGGTGGCAATATGTACCCTGTATTGTTAGAGATGATGTAACATGGTGGGAAGATGGTTTTGGAGCCATTCTTGTATTAAGCAAATGTATATTGAGTGCCTACTCTGTATCAGGCAATGTTTCAGGTATCGGGGATACTATAGTGAAAAAGATCAAATTCCAAGTGACAAGAGAGTAACCATGCAAAAGTCTAGAGGAACAGCATTGCCATGCAGGAGGGATGGCACTGGCAAGGGTTCTTAGGCTAGAATGAGCATGGCGTCTTCCAGGAACAGGTAAGAAAAGCCTGCAGAGGGTTGAATGATATGAGAGAAAGTTAGATAAGTAGGGGCCAGATCATGTACGTCAAACTTTCATATTCTGGTAGGAATATGAGGTAGGAAGTCTTTTTGTGAGGTTGAGTAAGGGAGATAAAAAAACTTGATTTGTAATTTTGAGAAGCTTCGTCTGTTGCTAAAGATGATGATGGCGTAGAGTGGAATGAGATAATAGTAGAAGCAGCAAGACCAGTTAGAGTGAATTTAAGTAGTCTAGAGTTGATGATGGTGCTTTGTCCTAAGGTTTTAGCAGGGAAGTGGTAATGGGCAGTTGGAATTATGATATGTGAAAGTTGGGGGTTATCATGGTATTGGATGTAGGAAGTGAGAGGGAGTGAGGAGTCAAGATTGACGCCTATTTTTGATCTAAGACAAAAATCTGGATGGGTGGTAGTACCACTCACCAAAGTGGGGAAGTTTGAGGGAGGAGCAGATTTGGAATTAAAAAAAAATCAAGAATTCTATTTTGGATATGTTAAGTTTGAGATGTTTGGTAGACACCCATGGGGAGTCATTGAGAGGATAATTATATATGTCATTTTGGAGGTGGAGTGACTGATAAATTTGAGTCGTCATGACGTACTTCAGAACTGGGTGAGACTACCTCAAGAGAGTAGAAATAGCAGAGAGAAGAGGGTCTCTATTGAGAACGGGAATCTGAGTTCTGATAGCTGGGTGACTTGGCTTCCATATTTCAGAATCATTGTGAATTGAGATAGTATGAGGCTTGTTACATAATACTGACAGCTTTGTTATTTTTAGATGATTATTTTAGATATTAGTTGTATTTAATTTGCTTTGGCAAGAAAAAGATTCTTTACTTTTCCAAAACAGCTTATGGTCTACTATAAACTTTTTTCTAGATGGAAGTTTTTACCTCAGAAATTACTCACCTATGAGAAGGCATGGAGAAAAGTTAAGGAAAAGTACAGGAAAGAAAAGGAACAAAAAAGTTCAAGCAGCTTTATAGTTATGCCTAGGATACCATTAGTGCCTTCTTATTTGTGTCATTTTATCTTTGTTTCATATATCTCATATTCCTGGGGACAAAATGTTTTTAGCTTTATGTGTTTTGAGTCTTACAATGGTCTACATGTTGCAGTTGCTTAGCAAATAATAACCTTAATATACATAAAGGTACACTGTCCTACTGGGATATTCAGTTCTCATTTTAATGCCTTGGGATACAGAAATTCTAAGTTTGTTGCCAAATCAAAATGGATATCCCCTTCTCTTGTTCAGAATGCATTTTGTGCTTAGAATTATATTAAAAATCATTTATAACAATACTTCTGGAAGTCTCCTAAATTAATGAAGGAATGAATGTTCTGTCAATTGTGTTACAGAGTTACAAATTTTGTCAAGGAAAATTACAGTTGATTTTAGACCAGTTGGATCCTGGACAACCTAAAGAGGTAAGTTTAAAGCATAGCTGTCAAGTTCAGTCATATATATATATATATATGTATATATATTTATAATATGTTAGATTATAATCAGTAGCAGCTGGATTATTTCTCTTGAAGATAGTCCTTTAATATCGTGGCATATTATTAGCAATATTCCTGCTATGCCTCCCTTTTGAAATAGAAGGTCACAGAGTAAGAGAGGCTCTCCTTGGAGAATTGTCATGGTTTGTAAGAGGAAATTTTTATTTCTAGTTTAAATTTTCAAGGGGTGAAGTTATGAGCAGTTTCCCCCAAACTTTTCCTCCACTGTCACTTTGTATGTGAAACTTCAGTGATATCTTTGAAGAAAAAAAAAATCTTCATTTAATGCTCTTTCTACTTCTGGAAAATGTGAACAACTTTGACAAGTGTGTTCATTTATTAGAAAAAAATATTTTAAGGAAGCAATTTTATTGAATTGTGCCTGTTTATATTGTGTAAGATTGTGTAAATTAATTGTTTATGAAGTCTTACTTCATTTGTAAGTCAGTATATTTCATTTGAAATAGAAAATTATAGGATATTTGAAGTACCTCAGACTTTTGTTGTATCTTGCCATTTGGTCTTATTTTTTTTAAATATTTTTATTGAGGTAATTTATATATAATGTAATATGGTCATTGAAACCATGTTTTTAGCGGAAGTATTGAGGATTGACCCCAGGACCTTGTACATGCTAAGCACACGCTCTACCACTAAGCTATACCCCTGCCCTGCTATTGTAATTTTGTTTTATTTTATTTTTTATTTTTTTATTTTTGAAGTACATTGTTTTTCTTCAACTTTCCATTCATTTTAAACTATATGAATAGCTATGATATACTCCCACTGATTTCTTTATTCCTAAAAAAAAGAATCACTGATTAGTTTTTTTTTCTCTCAGCATTTCACTTTCTGACTTATCTTCTAAGTTTTTAGTAAATGTTTCAACAGATATTGGCAGTGGGACCTGACTTTATATGATAGCAATCTTATTGTCTTTAGTTTAAGTGGATTATTTGGAAATCTATGTTTGTTCGGAAACTTTTATTCTACTTCTGCAAGTAGTAAATTGTTAATGGAATTTTGTCCTAAAAATTAACTGAAGAGGAGAAATTACTTAATGTTTTTACTCTCTTCATAATCCCCCTAATTCCTATCACAAAGAAAATTGTATTTAGGAGTTCTTTCATGTGAATATACGGACATTTTTAAACATGCGTATTCTGTCTGTTTCATCTAAAACTTGACACCCTGATTCAGAGTGCCTGGTTTTTTGAGGTCTTAGCTCTTGTCTTTGACTCTTAATCATTTTTTTTCCCCTCCCTTAGGCTTTAGTTATTTCACCTAGGAAACAACCAGATTTTGAGGAACAGGTTGAATTCAGTGTATTTTTAGTCACTAGTTGGAGTGTTAGTGGGGGAGAAGCTTTGCTTTATTTTTGATTAGAGCTGTTTGCCACTGCTGTCCCTTGGGTGATACAATTTTGAGTGAATTCTGATGGATTTTGAGAAGAATGATTCAGAAATAAGTTTTCTGTGAAAATTCAGAAGTTCAGTTTTGCTTCACATTGATGAATGACTTTCTCCCCTCTACTTCAGTGGTTAGAAGATCAGAAAATATACGGTGTAGCAGCAAAAACAAGTTCAAATTAATTGTTTTGTGAGAATTGTTCATATTCCTGGAATGAGAATGCTTTACCAGGGGTGTATCTGGGCAGTGTTTTAAAATTAAAGTCCTCAAACTGTGAGACCACATATGGGCTCTGTTCAAGTGAGGAAAGTCTGTGGAAAGAGGACCCTGGAATACCTTTCTCTGGTAATTCAGATCTGGCCACCATCCCTCCTCCTCTTCCATTTAGACATGTAACCTAGAATCTCCTAGTATACTTAGTGTTTTAATTTTTTGCTTTACGTAAAATAACAACCTGTTTTTTTCTCTGCCTAACAATTTTAAAAAATGAGTTGTCAAGAATTATTTTATAAAAGGGCATCTGATTCTCAATTGACTTTTAAAAACAATTATCAAACTCTACTCTTTCAGTGTTTGTTAATGTTTGGAGAATTGCTATTATTCTGGTGGCTGGGTATTAATAAAAATTCTTTTAAAAAATTACAGGTGAAATATGAAGCCTTGCAAACATTATGTTCAGCTCCACCCTCTGATGTACTAAACTGTGAAAATTGGACCACTCTCTGTGAGAAACTGACAGTGTCTCTTTCAGATCCTGATCCTGTGTTTACTGTAAGGAAATACTTATAGGAGTATTAAAAATTTCTGTTTTTCTACCGTTCTAGAAGCAAATGGGTTAGAATGCTCTGTAATCATAGCTCAAATATTCACGGAATTTCAGTTCCAGCTTTTCAATTGTCAAGATTTTCTTTAAGGGAATTAACTTACTATTTCATGATTAGATTCAAAGTATGACCAGTATCACACTTCATTGCCAAATAATAGTAGATCGCGTTACCTTATGTATTTTGTTTCATTTTGCAAAGGGATATCC